GTGTGTGTGTGTGCTCGAGTGTTAGAGTGATGCGTGTGGGATATCCAGGGTGATCCCGTGTATGTGAACAGTGAGATGTTTGGGCGCTGAGGTCGCCATAGCCAATTGGGAGTGAAATTCGTATCTGAAAACCACATCTCTGAGTTTGAGTGGGCGCATGTCGCCAGTATGCTGCGTTACTGTTTACATGTGTGAAAAGTGTGTTTGAAAACGAGTCTGATTGCAGCACTGCTGACGTGGCACTGCTGATCTGGCACTGTGATGTGGCACTGCTTATGTGGCACTGTGACGTGGCACTGCTGATCTGGCACTGTGACGTGCCGCTGCTGACGTGGCACTGTACCGAACCGGGATGCATGCAAGGGGTGGGTGGGAGGGAAAACGTAGGTAGGTAACCAACCCAACAATACTTTCCTCCGGCCCTAATCAACAGATAAACTAAAATAAAAAATAAAAGAGGAATACTTCCTTCTTTTTTTTTTTTTTTGTATATATCTGTCGACACATGATGAGTAGGATATGTCAGAAGAGTATTATGAATGAGATCTAGACTAGGTCCCGCAAAGTTTCGGCTTTTACAAACTGCGATCTTGAAAAAAAAAAAAATTGCGAACTGGAGTAAAGATGCGATTTTCAGAAAAGAACGAAATCCAGTTTCTGAGAATATAGYAACCTCCGAATATGCCTAACGCAATATTGGTAGGCTTCGCAAGATTCGGTTTTCAAAAAAAAATTTGCGAGATAGAATGGAAATGCGATTTTCAGAAAAGAATAATTTCAGTTTCCGAGAATATGACCACTTCTATCGTTATCCCAATATGCCTAGAGAACGAAAATACTAACTTCAAAAATTTCAGCTATGTATGCGAAATATCAGAGAAACGAAATGCTACTATCAGGAATTTTCAGACAAAACGAAATGCGATTTATCAGAAATTTTCAGATACTTGTCACGTAAAAACGAACTACTAATATCAGAAATTTTCAGATAGAATGAAAATGCGAATATCAGAAATTTTCAGATAGTTGTTGCAAAAAAAAAAATTCAGAGATTTGACTAAGTCCTACTTGCGTTACTAATGAGTGATCAATAGATCGCAAGCTGGCTACTTGATTGAGCGGGTCCTCTGAATGAGAGGTCCGCTCCGATACCAAACTGTTGCATACTGTAACGTGCAGACCAGAACAAGAACCGACCTTTCAATACAAAGTATAAGATAGCACAACGGAAGACTTAGATACCAGTGATCCGAACAATCAATGTTACAATGCAGCCCTGAACATGCATCACCATCATCGTTACATGGTGTGAAATGGGCCTGCCGCTTCACACAGGAAGACTGCGCCAGCCCATACCATACACAGACGAAGAGGAAGGGGATAGACRAAGAGGAGGGGGAAGATGGGAATGTCGTCAACACCAAGTCTTCGGCACAAGCCCAAATAGTCCCTCGACGAAATGTCTGAATCCCAAATGTCAAGTCTGGATCCAATGT